GGGGGAGAGGGGAGAGGAGGAGCACGAGGAGGTGAGGACGAGGAGGTCGAGGACGAGCAGGAGGAGGACGCGGACGTGGAGGATGCCAATTAGGAGGCCTAAGAGGAGGGTGAAGAGGATGAGAAGGAGGATGAGGAGGAGGAGGAGGAGGAGGGGGAGCAGGAGGAGGAGGATGAGGAGGAAGAGGGGGAGGGGGATGATGAGGAGGAGGATGAGGATGACGAGGACGAGGAGGGGGAGGAGGATAAGGACGAGGACGAGGACGTGGAGGCCAACAAGGAGGCCCAAGAGGAGGAGGAAAAAGCGGAGGCCCGCTCATCACTGGCGTTTGCCGACCGCGGCGCAGCGGCAGCCCCGCACGCAGCGAGCGGGGTTCCTGGGCCGCGCGGTGCGCGCTCCGCGCGCCACATGGCGCGCGCCGCCCCCGCCGCCTGGCGCCTCGGCGCCGCCGCGGCCGCCGCGGCCTGCCTGGTCTCCTCGTGGTGGCCGCCACGGACGACGACGACGACGACGACGACGACGACGACGACGACGACGACGACGACGACGACGACGACGACCACGACGACGACGACGACGACGCGCGCCGCCCGAGAGGCACTGCGCCCCGGGGCCGAGCCTCGCTCTGACGGGTTCTTCACCACCCACCACATCGCCCCAACCCAACCCGAAGGCCCCCATTTTCCCTCCATTCTCAGGCGGGGGGCGTCGGGGAACATCCGGAAAAACGCACGTGAGACCTGTACCCTCCCAACCCGAAATCTGCGTCTTCGCTACGCCGACTCCGGCCCGCCACACTACAGCGCGGCGCGCTATCCATGCAGCTCTCTGGCGTCCACGTCCCGAGCCTGTCCCAGCCTCCTAGCCCGCGAAGCGGAGCAACACGCCATCCGCTTGCAAGGCATAGCGTGTCGCCGGGCCCCCCCCTGCGCGGGTCCCCCCCCGTCGTTGCTCTCAGTAGAGGGGTCCAGAGGGGAACGGGTTCTAGATTCGCATTTGACTAGTAGGTCGGACATGCCAAGCCAAGGGTACCATTGTGTCCTGTACGAGTGTGCCCCCTTTTCGCGAGGCTGCGGGTCGGTCACGGGTGACCGCGGTCGCGTGCTGGGCAGGACACCCTTGTGTCCTGTTGATTGTTTTTGAAGGCCTTGTGACCGTCGGAAGAGTCTTGTGTCCTGCCGCGCGTCCTACGCAATCAGCTCTGGCTGTACGATCAAGGCGCTGAAGTAAGGACCGCTTTGGGTGCAGGAAGGTCCCTGGCTTCGATGTGCCGTTCTGTAGATCTACGTCGGGGAACCTCTTCGTGGCCAAGGCTCCCAGTGGCCAGAAACGATGTATGTCAGCGTGATGACTCCAGACCCAGTGGCCTTCCCCAGGACCAGCTCTTCATCCCTGGGTCGTATTTCGACCCCCCTGGGACCCCGCCCGACAAGGGCCAGCACAGGAGCCCGAAGACGGCGAAACGCTTCCAGGCCCCATTTTCCTCAAGACCCCACTCTTTCGTGGCACGGCGGGCGCAGAGAACCGTGCACATGGAGGAGGAGGAGGAGGAGGAGGAGGAGGAGGAGGAGGAGGAGGAGGAGGAGGAGAAGACGGAGCGGAAGAGGGAGGAGGAGGAGGAGGAGGAGGGAGAGGAGGAGGAGGAGGAGGCGGAGGAGGAGGAGGAGGAGGAGGAGGAGGAGGAGGAGGAGGAGGAGGAGGAGGAGGAGTCCCGTTCTTTGCCAGGCCCACCCTCGGGCCAAGGACTGGGTTCATACGCCCGCCATGGCCGAGCCAGGAGGGCGTACCTCTGTACCGACCTGGGCCCCAGCACGGGCTGGGCCGCGATCGATGCACAGCCTCCTCTTCTTCTTCTTCCTCCTCCTCCTCATCCTCCTCCCCTCCCTCCCTCCTCCTCCTCCTCCTCCTCCTCCTCCTCTCTCCTCTCTTCATCCTCTTCCTCCTCCTCCTCATCCTTCTCCCTCCTCCTCCTCCTCCTCCTCTCCTCCTCCTCCTCCTCCTCCTCCTCCCCATTCCCCTGAGATCCGACGACGCGAAAAATTGCAGCATCGCGAAAGAATCACGGCCGGAGCTCTGGACCCCATTTTTCTGCGCCATTTTGTTCGAGCTGGATCGATCTGTGAGGGTCCCGCGCACCGGAGCTGGGCGAAACCGCCCAGCTCGGAAGAATTGAGACGCCGGGTTCTCAGGCTCTCTCTCTCTCTCTCTCTTTGTTCTCTCTCTCTCTCTCTCTCTCTCTCCATCATCGGTACATGAGCTGAGAACTGGCATCCATACCTATGCGACCCCAGGGATCCTTGGGGGGGAATTCCGGGGGGGGCTGCGTGTGTTGTCGGACAGGGGTCCAGTCTCGAACGGGGTCCCCCTCGGGATCTGACCATTAGCACTCACACCCCTAGCGCCTCCATCGCCCTCCTCGCTTTGAGTGTCTGTTGCTCCCTCGTCACCTGCAGGCGCCTTGCCCTTCTCCCTCCATTCCTCCTCGGTCCGAGTGTGTATACTGCCGTCACCTACAGCCGTAGACACGCTAACGGCGATGTAGGCAACGGCGATGTAGGCTTGGGTATAGTGGGAGCGCGTGGCTCATGCTTCCCTACAATTCGCTGTGTCATTTTCGTTCGATACGCTCGCATACAGGTTGGTTCCCTCCCCGTTAAGCAACATCGCCGCTAGTGTGGCCTTGGTACAGGTGGAGGGGCCGCGGCCCGCGCCGCCGCGCGCGAGGGGGCCTGCCCGCGCGCGCCGGCTTCCTCGCCTCGCCGCGGGCGGCGCCGCGGCCGGCGGCCGCCGCGGCCGGCGGCCGCGGCGGCCCGCAGCCGGCAGGGGCGGGCGGCCTCCCGGCCGTGGGGGGAGAAGACCCGGACGTACGTCGGGCATGTCCCCCTACAGGAGGAGTATTCAAAAAAGGAGTAAAACATGATATGGGGACGATTTCTGGATTTGTTGTTACCATGTTTGAGCATGTTTGCACTTTTTCTATTTGTTTGTCCAAGATCCGCCGGTAGGAGGACGTGCCCGACCTAAACCCAGACCCACCCTCGCGTCGGGGAAGAGGAATCACGAAGGAAGGAGTTTGCTCGAAGAAGAAAAAACGCCACAAACATAAACTTGTTGGCGCTCCGCGCGGATTTCTTGGATCCGCGCTGAGGCCCCCCAGCGACGCCTCCGGCGCCGCCCCTGGCGCGCTCCGCGCGCCAGGGGGGGGGTCCAGCGCAGATCCAAGAAATCCGCGCGGAGCGCCAAAAGTTTATGTTTATGTAATTAGTTGTTTTTTCCCATATTTTCGCTGCCTTCGGGATCCACTATTGCTCGTCGCGCTTCCTCAGTTCGGGTCGATCGAGACGGGTACGGAAAGAATGGGTACAGAGGCCGACAGCAGCTCCTGTTCACTGTTTGGGCAGGACGCGGAGTCCGCGCCGCCGCTGACGTCGTCCATTTAACACAAACAGCCGCCCACCCAACAGCGGCCGCTGTCGGTTTGGGACAACATTTGGTGTTGGGCATCGTGCCCATTTTCTTCGTACCCATCTCGGGCGTCCAAATCAATGCGGCAGATACAACCACATGTAATCTAGATGCAGAAGGATGGTAGGAATTTCGTTACTGTAGCCCTGAGATGTAGGCTAAAAATTCTGTGCCCAGGCGGTCCCGAAAGCTAAATGGAAAGCCTGTTCACTCTTGGGCTGTCTGGGGCGCCTCTTGGGCCGTCTTGGGGCCCTCGTGGGCCGTCTTCTTTCCCAAATGGCGATTTTGCCCTCTGGGCCCCTCTCAGGAGGCCTCTTGGGCCTCTCTTTGGGCGTCTTGGGCGCCTTTTTAGCAATCTTCGACCGATCGTTCGTTGATTCGGGGCTCTCTTGGGAGGCCTGTTGGGCCTCTCTTGGGGTGTGTTGAACCCCCGTTCAGCCGTCTTCCACCGATCGTTCGGCGATTCGGGGCCCTCTTGGATCGTCTTGGGGGACTCTCGGGGCGCTCTTGGCCCCTTTTGGGGCCCTCTTGGGCCCGAGAAAGTCATGCGGGAAGACTCGACGCGCCCCACAGGGCAAGCCGGGAACCTGCGGACTGTGGGGTCTGGGGCCCTAGATGCCTTCTCGAGGGATTTGGCCAAGGACCTGGGGACACTCCCGTCCACAGGGGGCACGGTGGCAGACCACCTCTTTTCGGCGCCAAGACTCCTCAGCGATTCCGAGGGCCCTGAGATCCGAGCGCCTCAGCTCTTCCTGGCCAGGCGTCTCCGCCCGGTTTCGGGCCGCGGGGCCCTCCTGTAGATCGAGCCGGCTCGGCACAATGGCGCACAAGGGCGGGCCCGGGTCTACGGGGTCCAGTCGGGATTGCTCATGGTGTCCCAACTTGTCCCAGAGATGCCGGATCTCGGGGGAGGGGCTCCGAGGTTTCTGGCGGCCGCTCTCCCACAGGTTTTCCAGCCGTGGTGCGCTATCCGGCAGCTGCGCCTCGCGCCGGGTCCCAGACCTCCTTACGGTAGGTTCGTGTCGTGTCGACCGGCGGCGACCCCGCCAGCGGCGTTCAACGTTGAACGCAGCGGGCGACCCAGAATCGTTCGATGTGGAACGATTTGGACGTTTCGGAAACGGCCGATCGTTCAAGGTTGAACAATCCCCGCGGTGTCAGGAACCAACGCCAGGGTCGACACGACACGAACCTGCCGTACGACTCCGAGGTTCGAGGTTCGACATCTTCGACGGCAGGGCTCACCAGAAACGGCAAAACAATGGCTCCAGGAGTGGAACCGGAGCCGGAACCGGCAGAACGGCGACAGAGCCGGTAAAGCAACGGCGTCGGAACCGGCAAGAAACGCGGCCTTGTCGCTTCCAGGGCCCACGAAAATCCGTGCGCCCCCGGGGGGCTTCCGCGGGAGGCCGCGCCGGAGAAATCAGGACGCATATCGGGTCCCTGGGCCAAGGGCCAGGCGCCCCGCGCGCCTCCCGTCGGCCAGGTGCCGGCTCCGTGCCACTGGCGCGCCCTCCGGCTTCACCGTGCCCGTGATGGTGGCGGCGCTGAGGATCAGAGGGGGGGGGGAGGTGCCGCTCGACGCCAGCACCAGCACAGGGGGGGTGGGGCCTCCACAGGGGGAAGATGATCCCAGATTTCGGTGTTGGTGGTAATATTTCGGTCACCTTGGAGGCCAGAATACTACCACCATCACCGAGATCGGGGTCTTCTTCTCTCGGTGGAGGCACACCGCCGATAGTTGTGTTGGTGTCAACCTCCAGGCCTGCGACACCGATACCGCTACCCTTTGCCCGTTTTCTTCTTTTTCGGCCTCCTAGGAGGCCCTCGTCGCCACTGCTGGATTCGCCTCGAAATCCCGGTCAGGACGCACCCCAGGAGAGGTCCGGGGAGTAGCGGTATCGGTACCTTTTTGGGCTTCCCCACAGGAGCCTCGGGTTCAAGCAGATCCCCAGGACCCAGTCCAGGCAGAAGTTTCAGAATTTTGTGGAGAACCTCAACATTCCCGCGCAGGTGCTGGCGAGCGCGCTGAAGAGCGCGTCGCGGCGTGCGCAACAGAAACAGTTTTATGCCAATCGCAAAAGGGATGAGGCTCGCAAAAAGGATGAGGCTTGCCAGGACAGATTCAGCCTGTCGGGGTACCCGCGGGAAGTCATCGAGGCCGCCGCGAAGGGGATACTCGGCCTGCAGCGTACGGACATACTGGAGACGCGGAAGATGGTGGAGATGCTCGAGGTGATGGGCATAACGCGGCGCGACATCGACGAGTTCATGCGCGAGGTGTGCGGCCAGGAGTTTGATGATTGGTCAGAGCGCCCCCCGCGCGGCAGCGCAGGCCCCCGGGGCCGCGGCCGCGCGGAGTCCCAGGGCAGCGGCCGCGTGGCGTCCCAGGGCCGCGGCCGCGCGGCGTCCCAGGGCCGGGGCAGCACCAGGCGGCAGCCCAGATCCTGGGAGGCCGAGGATCGAGGGAGGAGGAAGCACGGGGACCATGGCCAAGATATCGCGGAATCTTGTCGATACCTCCTCCTCCTCCTCCTCCTCCTCCTCCTCCTCATCATCATCATCATCATCATCATCATCATCATCATCCTGCTCCTCCTCATCCTCATCCTCCTGCTCCTCCTCCTCCTCTTCTCCTCCTCCCCCTCCTTCTCTCTCTCCTCCTCCTCCTCCTTCTCCTCCTCCCCCTCCTCCTCTTCTCCTCCTCCCCCTCCTCCTCCTCCTACTCCTTCTCTTCTCTTCTCCTCCTCCTGCTCCTCCCCCTCCTCCAGGTCGGCCGTCGCCGATTCGCGAGGATGATCTCCGCCAGTCTATGCGGACCGAGGTCGACGGTGATTCAGTTCGACACGACGTTCCCACGTTCAGGCTTGGTCATGGCCCCCGCTCTCCTCTCCTGAGGACGCGGAGGACGTCGAGGACATGCTGTCTGGGGGGCGGTCCAGGCGCAGCCGCCGCCAGGGGCCGCCCTTCCAGGGCGGGCGCCGGGTCTACGCGGACAGCGACGACTTCCACAGGTTCCACCTGGGGGGCGAGGCGGCCGGCGGCCCGTGGGACGAGGACTTCGAGCGCCGGTCCCGTGAGGCCCATGCGGCGGGGCTCGACGTCGAGGACTTGGAGGAGTTCGAGCGCCACTTCGGCGAGGGGGCCTTCAGCTCGGCGGCCGCAACGCGGGCGGACAGCCGAGGCCAGCGGCGGGGAGCCCGGCACGCCTCCGTGAGGGGGGCCCTCGTCGCCCGCGTCTTCGGCGGGGCCTCCCTGGCGAAGGCGTGTCGTGCCCCCCTGGGCTGTTCGGGCCGGACGAAAGGGGGGATAGGGAAGGGGGGGGGGACGACATCTGCTGCATTGCAGCGGGTTTCTCGCCCCGCCGCCGGGCCCATCCCTCGATACAAAGGGCGCCTCCCGGCGCCAGGAGGCGCCAGGGACATCGGAGGGCGCGCACTGGAGGGGCGATGAATGGGGGGGCAGCGATGGCTGCCGAAAAGGGGCCCCCAGAGGGCCCCTAGAGGGGCCCTTTAAGGCCCAAGAGGGTGCCTTCAGGGCCCGAAAACGGGCCCGAAAAGGGCACATTTCTTGCCCCCCAATTTGATCTCCCCCTCCCCCATTTTAATTCGCGCCCAGGAGCCCTACCCTCTGCTATCCCACCCTTTCGTCCACCCCCCCGAGCTCTCCACCCCTTTTGCCTCCGCCGCTCAGCGCTCCCTGGGTGTCGCACGGCTACGGCGGGCCAGGCGGCGGCGGGGAGCCCTTTGGCAGTGGCGCGCCCGCCGGCCGCGAGCCCGACACGGAGGAGCGGGTCGAGGCTCGGAGGATCACTGAGCGCGTGCCACTGCTCGCAACGTGCCTACTCGCCAACGCTCGATAAGACACACGTTTGCCTCGATGTAGTGGGTCGTACATTCCCCGCGGCGGACCCAGACCATTTGCGAGTGGTTTCCTTTGCGAGTCGTGGAGCGCGCCTGTCTAGAGGAGGAAAGGGTGCCGACACCGCTGCCCCCCGCAGAGGGGGGCAGGGGGAGGGGGGAAGGCTTCTCAGAAGCACCCCTGCTTCTTAGAAGGTCCGAGCCTTGTCCATCCGCCCCGTTTAAGAGTCGAAGGAGCGGCCTCCTTCTGAGAAGCCTTCTGCCCACCCCCTATACCCCCCTCTGCGCGCCGCCATAAGGGTGCAGACACCGCTGCCCCAGACATCCGCTGGCTCAAGAGGAAAGACTCGGCATCGCTCGGCCGGGTGCACTGCTCTCGGCGGGGACCATCGAGGAGCATCTTGCAGGCAAAGCTCATGTGCACGAAGCCGAACAGTGCACAGAGCGTGGACGTCCGAGCGATGGCAAGGAGAGGCGGCAGCTTGTTGGTACACGTGTAGCGCTTCGCAGGCCCGTGCTGGCCCCAGGACCCTCAACAGAAACGACCCGGGATGGAACACGGTCGGCGATTAGGGTATGGTTATGTCGGGGGCGGAAAAGAGGGGGGTGATGACTAGGGGGGGGGTGGATATCATGGCGCGGGCCATGATATCTCCGCAGATTTCATGGCGCCTCTTCTTGTTTCATTACGTCCCAGGCCCCCCCGCTGGGCCGCGCACATGCCGCCGGTCATGATTTGCACCCCCCCCTCTCTTGGACCCCCCCTCTTTGCCGCTCCCGATTATGCCAGGGTGTGGTTTGCGATCGGCACCGTTAGGGCTTGGGGAGCACGACGTTGTCTTCGTCGGGCCTTCTCGGGGCGCGGTGGCAAGCTCTGTCGAGGTCCCGCCCGCCCCCCAGAGTACCCCCTGGGGTGCTGCCCGTTGCAACCCACAGCATTTGCAAACCACGCCCTTCGCAGTCGCCGACCAGGATGGAACACTGGTTCCAGGTGGCCGAGAGGTCTGGGGGCTCATGTCTCGAAACATCGGACCATCGGATTCGTCGCCGCGGCCGGATGCGCCTCGAAATTTGGTTCATATCGCAGCCCGGAAGAGTTGTGGGGAGTCACGCCTATCGGTATCTTCCCAGAAAGTCCGGTGTCCCTTGAGATCTGGCATCTCGAAAAAGGTGGAACAGCATGAAAAATCACGACCGGAACTCTGGACCCCACCCTTCTGCAGCGTTGTTCGAGCCGGACCGATCTGTGAGGGTCCCGCGTCCCGAGACCGTGCGGAAACGCCCGGCTCGAAAAAGTTGAAATGCCAGGCTTTCAGGATTGGTATCTCCCAGGAGCGTCGTCCAGTGCCCAGATTTTGTGAGTGCGGGGTCCCCGGAAGTCCCGACCAGTTCCTTCGGGGCTGGCTGTTCGTCCAGAGTCGCCCGCGGGGCTCAAGAGACGGGGTTCAATGCAAACGGGGGCCAGCCAGAGCGCCCGACCTTGCAGGATCCTGCAGGGCCAGGGTGGCATTGACCCGGGCTTGGGAGCAGGAGCCTGCAGGATCTGGCACCCTGACCTTCCAGGAGGGCTAAAAAATAGCACTCGACTTAAAAACCTATCCCAAAGCTATTCTACGTCTTGGTTTTAGGCTGTTTCGCTTAGCTTTTTAGGTTTTTAGGTCTCCAGTGCTAAAAAATAGCTCTCTGGAAGGTCAGGGCAGGATCCTTCGCATGGACCCGGGCTCGGGTGCAGGATCCTGCAGGCTTCTGCCAGGCCTGGCGGACCCCGGGCCCGGATCGCGACCCCGGCCAGCAGCTCCCCGACGGGGGGGGGGGCCCGTGGACGGCTCCACAGGGCGCGGGGCCTCGGGCCAGACGTCGGGCCTCTGGCGGCCGCCCGCGGCGGTGCAAGCAGACACTCCCCGGCGGCGCGCGCTCTCGGCGGGGCGCAGCGGCGGGGGGAGCACACCCCCCAGGGGGTGGGGGCCGAGCGAGGGCCAGAGGGAGGGCGGGGAGAGCTCGAGGGAGCCCAGGAGAGTTTGGCACGGGCTGGGTTCGCTGCTGCCCCTTGCCGCTGCTCGTCTCTGCCTGCCTCTCTCTCTCTCTCTGCCCGTCCGCGATTGTGCAGTATCAGCTTACTTCTGGTAGGATCGCTGAAGGGAGAGTGAAGTTGCTGAGTACCCCTGGGGCTGGGAACCCTTTGGGGACCGCCCGGAAACCTTCGAACTTCGAGCATCGGAGTTGGGAAGGGGGAAGGCCTCGGGTTGCGCGCAGGCAGCCCCCCCAGACCCCCAGATGGTCCTGGCCGGCCCCAGCGGGCCCCCCGAGGAGTCCCAGCTGGCCTCAGCAGTTCGGGGCGGTCTCAACGGTGCGGAGCGCCCCCGGGTGCCGCGGGAGTCGGCACCGCGGTGTTGAGACCGCCCCGGGCGGCTCGGGGGGCCTGCTGGGGCCAGCTGGGAGTACTCGAAGGGGGCCCGCTGGGGCCGGCCAGGACTGCCCGAGGGGGGAACTGCCTGTGCGCAACCCGGAAGCCTTGCTACTCGGAGTCGTTAGGTGTTCAGGGTCCATTTCGATCCGATCGATCCGAGTCGAAATCGGCTCCAGCTGGCCCGAGTCGATTCGATTACGATTTTCGGCCGATCCTATGCGTCCCGATGCTAATTACTTGCTTAAGGCACTGTTGTGCATCCTGGTGCCGCCGGCTCGATTCGATTCCGACTCCGTGCCGGTACGGTCCGACTCGATACACGTTCCGATCCGACTCTAGTTATCCTCATTCGAGGCTAACTGTTCCTGGCGTTTCTTCCCCATGAGATCCGACGTCGCGAGAAAAAGACATCGCAGCACATCACGACTGAAGCCCCAGACCCCACCTTTCTGCCCCACTCTTCGAGCCGGATCGATCTATGTGAGTGCCCCGAGGCCCGAAATTGGGCGAAAGCGCCCGTCTCGACGGGCTGCCAAAGATGGCCCTGGGGCCCCGCGGAAGCACCCTGGCGAGGCGGGGCGGCTGGACAGCATCCTGGCGCAACGCGAGCGAGTGTGTGCCGTGCAGGGTGCGCTTCCTCTCGGCGGTTCAAAGGGTGGGGGTCCCGAGTCTGGAGGGATGGGGCCCTGAGGATGGGAAGTGATCGAGGGGTGGGTCGGCATGGTTTGAGGCCCTCGTCCTCAGGACCCCATCCCTCAGGACTCCATCCCTTGAGGAGGAGGAGGAGGAGGAGGAGGAGGAGGAGGAGGAGGAGGAGGAGCAGGAGCAGGAGCAGGAGTAGGAGCAGGAGGAGAGGAGGAGGAGGGGAGGAGAGGAGGAGGAGGGGAGGAGGAGGAGGAGGAGGGGGAGGAGCAGGATGATGGATGATGATGATGATGATGATGATGATGATGATGATGATGATGATGATGATGATGATGATGCTGATGATGATGATGATGATGATGATGATGATGATGATGATGATGATGATGATGATGATGATGATGATGATGATGATGATGATGATGATGATGAGATGATGATGATGATGATGAGGATGAGATGAGGATGAGGATGAGGAGGAGGAGGAGGAGGAGGAGGAGGAGGAGGAGGAGGAGGAGGAGGAGGAGGAGGAGGAGGAGGAGGAGGGGAGGAGGAGGAGAAGGAGAAGGAGCAGGAGCAGGAGCAGGAGCAGGAGCAGGAGGAGCAGGAGGAGCAGCAGGAGGAGGAGGAGGAGGAGGAGGGAGGAGGGAGGAGGAGGAGGGAGGCCTTGGGCGTCGCCCCGCCCCCCCCCCCCCCCACCCCCGAAGGCGGCCATGGCCGAGGCCCTCGCGCGGGGCTGGAGGCCCCAGGAGCTCTCGCGTGGGCAGGCGTCGCGCCTGCTCGGCGTGGCGGCCTGGGGCGCCTCGGCCGGGGAGCTGCGCGAGGCGCGCCGGCGCCTGGTGCTGAGGCGCCCCGGGCTTCCCGAGTGGGCTCCGAGCGAAACGGGAACAAAGAGTTACATACATTGCAACATCGTAAAGAATCACGCCCAGATCCCTAGACCCCACCCTTCTGCGTCATTTTTCGAGCCGGATGGATCTGTAAGTGTCCCAGGGCCCGACAAACGGCGAGAACGCCCGGCTGGAAAAGTTGAGACGCCAACATCTCATGGGGGAACGAAGAATGGCATTAACATAAAAATTCGGAGGTCCGCGCGGATTTCTCGGATCCTCGCCGGGGCCCCTCTGGCGGCGCCTCCGGCGCCGCCCCTGGCGCGCTCCGCGCGCGGGGGAGGCGGGTCCATCGCAGATCCGAGAAATCCGCGCGGACCTCCGAGTTTTCATGTTTATATAATTCTTCGTTCCCCTATGGGATGCTTGCGTCTTAACTTTTCCAGCCAGGCGTTCCCGCCGTTTGTCGGGCCCCGGGACCCTTAAAGGTCCATCCGGCTCGGAAAGTGACGCAGAAGGGGGTGGGGTCTTGGGATCTGGGTGTGATTCTTTACGATATTGCAATGTTTGTGTGACCTCGGATCGCAGCGAAGTGGGTTCGGAAAGACTGGGGCGCGAAGGCCGACAGCATGTCTTGTCCGTGTCGAGCAGGAATCGCGGTCGGCGTCGCCGCTGGCGGTGTCCGATTGAGGCGACAGAACGCCTGCCCGACAGCGGCCGCTGTCGGTGTTGGGCAACATTCGCTGTCGGGCATCGTGCCCATGCTTCAGAACGCATTTGGGGATTTTGTTTTAGTCCCTTGGTGATGACGGGCGCGACCAGGGGGGGACAGGGGGTTGGTCACGCCAACATTCGCGTCAGGCGCCGTCAGGGGACGCCCAAGAATGGCTCATTCCCAGACAGCGCCAGCGAGAAGCGTGACGCGACCAGGGGGGGACGGAGGTCGGGGCGGTGGCCGTGCCGGTCACGGGTGGTATCTTGAGTGGTTTGAAAATAGGGTCCCCTTGAGGGTCCAACGTGCTCTGATTAGCCATACGGGTCCTTGAATTACTGGCTGCCGGCCCTATATCCTTACTTGTTGACGCTTCGCGTATCCCCACCAGCCCATCCAGAAACGATGCCCACGGGAGTTGAGGTGATCAGGGAAGTGGAGGAGCATGCAGAAGACAAAGTGCGGGGAAAGCCGTCTGATACCCCAAGAGAGGGAGGATGGTGGAGGAGAAGGAGGAGGAGAAGGAGGAGGACAAGGAGCATCTTGGGGAGCCCAGGGGCTTCTTTGAGCGTCTTGGGTGCCTCGGAGATCCTCTTGAGTCCTCTTTGGGGCCTCTTGGGCGCCTCTTGGAGGCCTCTTGGGCGCCTCTTGGGGCTGTCTGGGTGCCTCTTGGGGGCCCTCTCGGGGCGCTCATGGGAGCTTCAGGGGCACTCTTGGGGCCATCTTGGAAGACATCGATCAAGAAAGAGGGGTTCCCTAATTCCCGTCTCCCTCTTGGGAGCCACAAAAGTCGCCTTTTGGGACTCTCTTGGGGCGCTCTTGGAGCGCTCTTGGACGCTCTTGGGGCCGTCGTGGGGCTCTCTTGGGTCCCTCCTGGAGCCCTCTTGGGCCATCTTGGGGCCATCTCGAGGCCTTGGATGGCCAAGCGAAAAGGCGAGAAAGCAACACACATGGATTTTCCCTTGGTTTTGGAAGGATTTTGGCCTCTTCGGGGCCTCCTTGGGGAGCTCTTTGGCCACTTGGAGCGGTCTTGGGACCTATTGGAGCATCTTGGGAGCCATCTGGAGGCATCTTGGGATATCTTGAGCCATCTTGGAGCTCATTTTGGGCTCTCCGAGGCGCTCTTGGAGCCATCTTGGGCCATCTTGGACGCCGCCACCCCTCGGGGGACCCCCCATCCAGGTCCAGGGGAGGGGGTGGGGGGAGGGGAAGACCCCTCCCCGAAGCGGAAGAGGGGCAGATGGAAGACGAACTTCCCTAGACCATCTACGCCTTGAAGGGCTGGTGGGATTAGCAACGACAGCCTTTTCAAGCATGTGGCTCGTCCATAGGGTAAAGCTCGCAACATCGCTCGTTACGGGCCGGTCATTCCTCCCGGACGGGAGGGAACTGACGAAGGAAGAGGGCGCACAATCGCATGCACGATCCGAGGCCGCTTCGGTTCAAGCCGATCGTTTGCGAATTCTTTCGTCCGACATCGTATTGTATTGTACGCCTTGTATACCGACCAGCAAGCCCATATGGCCTATGAGCCGGTGAACAACACGGCGTCGACGGGAAACGTGTGAATTTTTGTGATTTTTTTGCTAGAATGTCATTCCCTGACTGAAGATGATGTACCCGTCCGACATGGGCGACGTAGTCGCCAACAACATGGCGTTCCTAGGCGGCGCCATCCAGTTCACGCGTCGGATCGCTGAGCCTCAAGTGATACCGGCGCTCATTAAGAAGCTCGGCGCTCCCATGGATGACGCCAGCATGTATGCGCGACGGCTCCGGCTGCTCTCTCGCACGTCCTTCCCCCACATGGAGATTGGCCGCGTGCGGATTGAAGCTGCACCCCGCAGTGAAGCAGAACAGCGGGATGCAACGCGCAGCAGCCCGACGGTCGATGGTGACGTCGCTGCTGCCAGCCACGCGTCCAAAATAGCCGCCTTGGCCTCGACAAGAAGGTTCTGGGCCACGACGGACCCAGGGTCGAGAGGCTGGTCGACGAGCGACTGGTGATCTTGGCGGAGGCGCGCGCGGCCTTGGACGGCGGGGGGGGCGCTCGAGGAGGCGGCGCGGGGGGGGGGGAAGTATGGGGAGGAAGAAGAGAACGGGGGTCCGAGGTAGGGAGCGGAAGGATTGATACTGAAGCGACGTAGAATGAACGCCGTCAGCGTTAGAACCGATATAGAAATCGCAGGATCGCGGCGTGCATGCGCGCGGGAGACCTCGATCCCCCATTGCAGCGCGCAGCTAACGAGATGACGCAGCTCTGCGTGCCTCCATTAGAACGTGCAGCTAATTAGAGCGCATTGGGCCCTCGAGGCTCGGCCTCCAACCTTGCCTCCGGGCGCCTGTTGCGGGGGCGCCCGGGCCCCCGCGCGGGGTCCTCACTTTGCGTGTTCGGGGGGCCTCTCCTGCTGTGCAAATGGCAGTCTGCTTTTGCGCCCCGACGTGTGTTCGACGCGGATTTGATGTGAATTCGACCCGGGTTCGACCCGGGTTCGACGCGGGTGCGACGCCTCCGATGTGGATCCGACGCGGGTGCGACAACGGACGGCTGGCGCCGCGAGGCGGCCGAGGGCCCCCGAAAATGCAACGCGCGGTTCCGATCGCGCGGGGTCGGAAGAATCTGGCCTCCAGCCCGGAATTCCGGGCAATTCAACTTTTCCGAGCCGGGCGATTTCGTCCAGTTTCGGGCCGCGGGACCCTCGCAGGTCGATCTGGCTTGAAAAATGGTTTTGGAAAGTGGGGTCGATGGCCCCTTCGTTGCGTTCAATTTTCCGTTTCCCGATGTGTCGGATTTCGGCGCGCGGACAACAATCAAGGCGGCGGTCCAGATCTCCAGGGAACCGCGCTGCGAGAATGTGTGCGGGTCGCGCGCGCCGCGCCACCGATGAATCAGCGATGCGTTTCGATGTGCAGCCCGACTGTCTCCACGCCGGCGGCGCCGATGCACCGCCGACGTCGCCGATGCATCAGCGATGCGGCGCGATCTTCTGACATCCCTTCTCTGGGCATTGCGAAGGCGCCCACCCAGACAAATCGACAGAGGAAATATGCGGTGGTTCGCAGTGCGCCAAAACACTCCGCAGTCGGTTTCGCTAGCCGACGTGCGTTTCATCGGATACATCAGGTTGTTGTTCCCAACCGGTTTGTGGTTCTGGGCTTTCGTTTCGAGGAGACATCCTTTTCGTTTTCTCATGTCCCTCCCCTTTCCCAATTTTTGCCGTGCCTGCTTTTACCATCCGCATGTCGATGTCGGCACCCCCTTCACACAGAGGGAACTCCACCGACGGCCCCAGTGGTTGGGCCCGCAAGCGTAGCCCACGCAATTTCGGCACGCCCATCACGTTTCGAGGCACCGTGGGGACCTTTTGATAAAGCCCAGCAGTCTCGGCCCGCATGCCTGGTCCACAACGTTTCTGCACATCCCACCCGCTTCGCGACCGCAGAGAGGAGCTCCATTGAAGGCCCCAGTGGGTGGGGCCGCATGCTTGGCCCACGCAATTTCGACGCGCCCCTCACACGCTTCGAGGCCCCATAATGATTTCCACGTAAAGCCCAAGTGGTTGGGCCCGCACGTTTGGTTCACACCATGTCGGCGAACCTCTCATACGGTTCGTGGCCCCAAACAGGTTTCCACAAGAGGCCCAAATTGCTGGGCCCACCGGAATGGTCCACGCAAATCCGGCGCGCCCCTCACACGCTGTCGGGGTCCCATAAGGGGCTCCACCTCTGGCCCCATCGGCTGGGCTCGCACGCTTGGTTCGCACTATGTCGGCGCACCTCTCGCACGCTTCGTGGCCCCATTGGGAGCCCCACCGAAGGCCCAATTGGCTGGGCCCGCATGCCTGATCCACGCCATGTCGGCGCACCGCTCACACGTTTCGTGGCTCCATCAGGAGCTCCGCTTCAGGTCCCACTGGCAGGGCCCGCGTGCCTGGTCCACACAAATTCGGCACACCCCTAACAGATAGGGAGCTCCACCTAAGGCCCAAGTGCCTGGGCCCGTATGCGTGGTCCACGCCATGTCGGCGCACCCCTCTTACGTCTCGCGGTTTCATATGGAGTTTCACTTCAGGTCCCATTCCAGGGCCCGCATGCCTGGTCCACACCATGTCGGCGGGGCTTCACACGCTTCGTGGCTCCATAGAGAGCTCCACCTGAGGGCTTAATTAGTGCTGAGCCCGCATGCCTAGTCCACACCACTCCCGACCCCACATGGGGTCTTCACCGAAGACGACACTCACAACTATGGTATTCATTACTGCCTATGGTTGGGTGACGTCGATTGGGCACCCCGCGCCGTGCGGACGTGGAGTGACCCTGGCAGCTTTCACTGGAGGACCTTCTGCCGAACGGGTTTTTGGACCCCCCCGATGTCTGCTCGGCACCACTCGGGTGAGGTCGGACATGTCCCCCTACAGGCGGATTTTGGGGGAAAAATAAACGATAGTCAACGCATCTGCGAACATCTGCAACACATAGTAGAAAAATCGTCCCTGATTGTTTTGACTATTATTGAATATTCCTCCTGTAGAGATTTAACGCTTGGAAGGCCTCCCCGAGGTGGCACCCGGACCGCAACGAGGAGAAGGAGTCGGCGAGCGCGGCGCTTCAGCTCATCTCAGCGGGCGAAGAGCCGCGTGTGGCAAACGTGTCCGCTACCAGGGGCGCCTGGCCCCGGGTTGCCGGGACGTTTTTGTCCCGACGACGGCGTGGGGCGGGGTATAAGTTTCAGCGGAGGAAAATGTACCCATACCTCTACCCTCTCCTCGTTTTCCCCCTCCCCGTCGCCACCGCTGGATTCGCCCCGAAATCCTGGTCAGAACGCACCCCGGGAGAGGTCGGGGGAGTAGCGGTATCGGTACCTTTTGATCTCCCTTGTGTAAGTTTCCAGTTTGAGACATATCCCTATCCCTATGCTTGGCATCACCTTCCCTCGGTGCTGAACTCCAGGATTCCTCCGTTTCTAGAGGCATATCCCGAAGATTGTTATGGTCTGCCGATCTCAGGGGTAGAGATGAGCTCGAGGCTGGATGATAACTGTCCCCAGCCAGCCTCGGGTCGACGGGCAGCTCCCAGTGGCGGAGGGGGTTCGGAGGGATGCCAAAAGTACACCACCACCAGCCCTGGCCAGGCCCATCCTGGGCCCAGGACTGGTGCATAGGTCTCTAGGCCTAGGCCAGGAGCTCCTGTTCAACAGTTCAGGGCCCAGGATGGGCCTGGCCAGGGCTGGTGGTGGTGTATTGCTTGGAGCCCTCCCGGGGTTTCTCTGTTGCACCGCTCCTCGTCCGCTGATCATCCTCGCCTCCCTGGAGCTGCTCCGCGCCTGACTCCCGCCCCCCCCCCCCCCCTGGCGCGCGCGCGCGCGCTCCCGCGTGCGAGCGCGCGGAGCGACCGTGTGCCGAGCGGCCTCCCGCGGGCCCGAGCGCGCGCGGGCAACGGGTGAAGCGCGCGCCCGCGCGCTCGCGCCCGCGCGCGCCTGGGAGGAATCCGCGCACCCGGGCGTGGACGAATCCGAGGGGACATCGTGAGGTCCCGGCGTCTCCAAGCGTTGTTCGATCTGTGCATGTTCGACCAGCTTCGGGCTGGTGGACCTTCGCAGATCGATCGGGCCCCAGAATTGTGCAGGACGGGGTCCCGGGCTCTGGCCTCGATTTTCTGCAGTGTTTCTCCACTTGTTCGCGACGTCGGATCTCAGGGTGCCAGGAGAGCTGGTGAAGTGGCTGGTGCTGCAGCCCTTCGCTCTTCCCAGCCCTGTCCAGCTTCCCTCTGTTTTTTGGGGGGGCCCAGGCGACCTCATTCCCACTGATTCGGGCTCGTCTCAGCGTTAGCCAGATGTGTCCAGCTCTGGCCACTCCCACTTTCACTGGCTTTCCGACTTCCACTTTTCCCAGCTTCTTTGTCGATCTTTTCGACCTATGTGGGCCCTCGCCGGGCCCCAGTATCGTCAAACGGCGACTCGGAATGCAGAGCCGGCCCGCGGAGCTTCCAGAGACCTCTTACCGAGTAATTGGAGACACAGTGTGTTTGCCAGTTTCGTTGAGCCGATCCCGATCCCCATCCTCATCCCGATCCCCATCATCCCAAAGCTCCAGTTGGGGATATATGCCATCAGAACTCGAAATAAACAGACTACATACCCATTACCCATCTATGGCAAGAAATCGGCCAGTGGGGCCCAGGCCACGCCCGTGGGGATAGGGATCGGTTCAACGATGCTCAGTCTGGGGAAGGGGGAGCGGGGAGGGTGGAAGGGGGGGGCGAAGTTTGATGTGCAAAGCTGGTTTCGGCTCAGCTGCCCAGCGCGTTCCTTGGCACATGGACGTCTCTGGCGCCAGGTTCCCGCGGATCCAGATTTGAGGGCGATCCCTCCCAGCCCGCCTCCCCCCCTTGCCCGCTGGTGCACCGCGCGTCCCCCCTCGTCCCGCCGTCGTCCTCATTGTCCTTCCCCGTCGCCGCCCGCGTCCTCGCCGCCGTCCTTCTCCTCGTCGCCGCGGCCGCCGACGTCGTCGTCTTCGTCCCCGTCGTCGTATTGGCTGCCGCCGCCGCCGCCGTCGTCGTCCTCGCCGCCGTCGCCGTCGTCGCCGTCGTCCTCCCCCCCCATCCGGCGGCGCGGGCGCTGGGGCCAGGGGCGGCGTCGTCCTGGACGGCCCGCTGGGCGGGCCGCCGGGCGGGCTGCCGCCGGCTCTGATGGAGCTCATGGGGCCCGGGGCGCCGGAGGCCGCTGCCGGCGCTGCGCTGCGTGGGGGGGAGGCCTAGGCTGAAGTCGGGCACTTCCCTCTACCGGAGGAGTGTTCAAAACCAGTCAAAAAATAGTATGGGGAGGTTTACAGCAACTATTTTCGCCATTCTGGAATATGTTTGATTCTGTTTACTAATTTTTCGTCCAAGATCCCCCTGGACACGCCCGACCTAAGCCTTGGCCTCTCAGATTCCAGAGCCCCCTCGGGACATGAAACAATCACGACAGATACTTGTTTTTGTATATTCGGCTTCCAGGGGATTTCGCCAGGCCCCGGGGCCGTCAAAAGCAGCTCTGGGTCGAGACCTCCTGGGGTCGACGTCAAGGAAAAATCATGACGTCGGGGGTCTGGGATGGGGTCCGTGTAGATGGGGTCGGAGGATGACGCCACATCGCCGATGCATCGACGATACGGCTCGATGTGGAGCCCAATGTTCTCCATCCCGAAGACGCCGACACATGGCCGACGTCACCGATTCATCGCTGATGCGTCGCCGATGCATCGCGTTTGCATCGCCGATGCGGCGCGATCCTCCAGCCCCATCTTCGGCGGCGAGCCCAGGGGGGAAGTGAAAAGGGGCGGGCCTTCTCAGAAGGCTTGGAAGGCCTTTGGCCATCTGAGAGGATTTCTAAGCCGTCGCCGAAGACATCAAGAAACCTCTCAGAAGGCCAGTGGGCTTCTGAGAAGTCCTCGGAAAATATGGGAAATGGGGGTGAAGACGAAAACCCAGAAATCACTGGAACTTTTGGGGAACCCTGGGACTTGTGTCTATTTATTTGTGTGTCCCTGTGGGCCCCTTTAGAGAAGACCTCCTCCTCCTCGCTTCCACCCCCCCTTGCTCGCCTCCGATTATGGACCCCCGTGGTTAGGTGTTCGATCATGGACCCCTTTGTTGAACGCAACCCATCCAGCTTTCGCGCCGAGGACCGCCTGAAACCGCCAAAGACCGCCAGACACTGCCGAACGCCAGACAGACCGCCGAGAACCGTCCGAAGACCGCCGAGAACCGTCCGAAGACCGCCGAAGACAGCCCAGGAGCGATGGGTAACAATCGACGAGACGTAAGGGTGACCTTTCGCCGGAGTGACCTTCGGTGCGGGCCCAATGGGGCCCTCCCATCGCTTAGCGCGAAGCGGCAGAGGCGGCTTGCGCGCATGGTTTTGGCCTCTTCGTCCCCCGTTCGCCCCCCTAAAGCCGCGCACCAAAGGTCCCTCTTGCCTAGGGTCACTCTTGCGCGTAACCGAAACAAGGGGTCTTAACCTACCCCTAGCAAACCATCCCCTTCGGTGACGTCCACCTCGCCTCGCCCCAGGACGCATGTATGCGGCCGCAGGGGAGCTCGAAAGGCGAGGAGGGCGTCACGGAAGGGGACGGCTTGCTGGGGGTCGGTTGGGCCGTGCCCGCGATGGGCACCCGGGGGCCCCACGGTCTATAGCACCTCACCGTGGCATCCCCGGCAGGTGCTGGCGCTGGGCCCGGGCGGCCCCGTGCTCGGGGCCTCCGGCGACGCAGGCCGTGGGCCTCGCCGCCGCCGTCGGCCTCGCGCCCTCCGCGCCGCCCTCCGCCGCGCTCCCGCCGCCCTCCGCCCTCGCCACCGCCCGCCGCTGCTGCTCGGGGCCGCGGCCCCTCGCGCTGCCGCCCCCGCGCCCCTCTCGCCGCCGCCATCGCCGCGGGCGTCCCCCTCGCCGCGCCGTCGCCGCCGCCGCCCCTCTCGCCGCCGCCGTCGCCCCCGCCGTCGCCGCGGGCGTCCTGGTGCTCCCCTCTCGAGTCTGCCCTTCCCCCTCCTGGGTCCCCGTCCCGCGCACTCCCGCCCCCCCCCCCTCCATGCTGCTCTTCCTCCTGTGGGGCTCCCCGTGCTGAACCCTTCTCTTCCCGGACCTGCCACTGCGGAGGCAGGCCAGTCCCCAGTTCCCAGTCCGCAGTCCTGTCCTCATGTCCTGGCTCTGTGCCCCACCCCTCCTTTACCCTGTACGGACCCTGTTGCTTCGCCTCCTGCACCGCTTCCTCCTCCTCCTCCGCCTCCTCCTGCTCCGGCCGAGTGACACTGGGCCCTCGCTTCGAAGCGATAGATTGTCCAGGTGATCTCAGGCAGATCCTCAGTGCGAGTATGGCCGCGAAGCGAAGGCACGTGTGTATGCCAGATTCCCCATTCCCAGGGGTCGCGGATTCCTTGACTCTCCAAGCCTACCGCCTCTCTAGATGGGGGTACGTGCCACGGATGCCGACGGGAAGACTTGTATCCCCACCTATAGGGAGGTGGGTCTGGCAGCGAGGAGAAGGATTACCTAGTGGGGATGGGGATTTGTCCACTGTCGGACGAAAGTGACGATCCCCGAGGCTCCCCCCGAAGAACTGCCCGTTCGAATCAGAAGGGGAACCTGAGGCGACACACCCGGGGGGCTACTGCTCGGACGCAGCCCCGCATCGGAGATGGGCACCCCCTCCATCGTGTACCCCCGGCCTCTGCCCCAAAGGTTTTTGTCCAGTCGGGCGTCCCACAAAGTCGGTGACCGGCGGCGCCTCCGGCGCCGCCCCTGGCGCGCGAAGCGCGCCAGGGGAGGGGGCTCAGAATCGACCGCAACAATTCACGCTGACCTCTGGAGAGCGATTCCCCACCCGACATTTTGGGGCTGTGAGGTCCTGAGCAGCAAGGCCCCCGACTTGCCGCGCCCTCCTTGCATACTACGGCCGGCAGGCCCCAGCAGTCCCGGTGATTACTGGGCGTCCTGTTTGCTGCTGGTGCCAGGGCCCTGTAGTCTTCGGACGGTGCTGGGACGAGGATGAATCCGGTCCGGAGCGTCCCGGAACGCTCTCGGAGCGTTCTGGGCCGCTCTGAGAAGGCCGCAGCGCCCGAGACAGCGTCCAGGGCCGTTGGAGTTCAGAGGTTCTCGACTTCTTCCCCGCCCGAACTTCGCAAGTCCGGGTGTTCTCTGGGTGCCCCGCCTCGCCCGCCCTGCGGGCCGCGGCCGCCCTGCCCCAGCAGGCTGGGTGAGCCCCCCCGAGGGTGTCCCGCCTCGCCCGGCCTGCCCACGGCGGCCGCCGGTCCCCAGAGAGATCCCCGAGAGCCCGAGGGCGGCACAGCGAGCGAGCGCACCTATCGCAGGCGATAGCGTTGGACGTCTGGAGCATGTTAGCCCCCATGAGGGGGGGGCAGCGGACTGTTCGGTGACCGCGCCCTTCTTTTCCCTAAACAGGAAAAAGAAGCATATCGCAGGCGATACTTTACCTCAAGCCCTTGACTTTGGACGAGAAATGAGGCCGCTCAGACAAGGAGCGAAATCCTGGGATAGACCCCAAGGGGGGCTGCTCGGACGCGCCCGTATCGAGGATGGACGCCCCCGCATCGTATATCCCAGGGTTGGGCCCAGAATTTCTGGCCCATTCGGAACCCCCACGAAGCCTGGGATTGGGGTCGACATATCTCTTGTTAATACGTTTAGGTGTAATTGACAGGCAAGCCCACCAGGAAGGCATCATGCCATCCAGGCGTGACGACGTCACGCCGTCCAGAGCCATCTTGAGCAGAGGAAGAGAGCACACACCCAGCACGTGCATCTTTGACATACATCGAGAGCGCACATTCAGAACAAACAAATCGTCGACCTCATGGGCACACACACACACCAAGAACATACACACAGTACACATATCAAGAACGTACACCCGGAACACGCATCATTACCATACGGCAACACCTTGCACCGATACCTTACATCGGTCACCTACATCAGCCCCATACACCAACATCAGACATTATGATGATGCACCCAGCGTGCACATTAATGGCATACACCACGAGCACGCAAGACACACCATACATCAGGAGCAGTCGCCAATTACATCTAGCAAGTACATACATCAATGACAGACGCCCAGAACAGCCACCAAGGCTATACACCGACAGCGTACATACATATCATACACCAGGAACAGCAATGCAGAACACACGCCAATCACATACACCACGAACGCATTTCGTTAGCATACATCATTAAAGTAAACCAAGAATGGGCGCCAACAACACCCATCTTCGACACACATTAGGAAAGACATACGCCATTCATCTATATATTTACACCCGCACCATACATGCCACATATATGCACCGGGGGGGACATCAGTATCCTACACCAGGAACGATGATCATCTGCAGTCGTCTAACGTCTACACTTCGGCCATGCATCCACAGCGCATATCACGAGCACGCGCCTACAACTTACATCAAGGACGTGCAGTCAGAACTTACATCTTGGTATGCTGAAATCGGTTGGTGGGCATCGCGCGAAGCAACGTCATGTGAGCGACGCAAAAGAGGGGTCGTCTGCGCCGATACTGGCGCGCAAGCTGCCCGCTGAAGGTCGCGCGTGAGCGCCCTCGTCTCCAATGCAGCTCGGCGCGCCGGCTGCCCGCGCAAGCCACCGCGTAAGGTTGACATGCCGTCTCGCGTAAGGCGCGTTCCTTTCGTCGCCAATGTGCATGCGCCTCGTTTTTGAAGGCACGCACTCTCTTGCCCGCCACGCGTGGCAGCCTGGCCGCCCACCGCTCGCTCCCTCCGTGTCCTGGAGTGCGCTCTCCCACTGACCCCCTGCCGCCGCGGCGTAGTGCGACCTCATGCGCTCTGTGTCTGCGCACGCGTGTGGCGGCAATTGGCTGCTTGCGTTGCCTCTTCCTTTGTCATCGCCGCGTCGCCGCGGCGTGTACCCTCGTCAGAAGGGCAGCCGCATAGCGGTGCGCGCAGCGGTCACTGTGCATGCGGCCCTGCAAGCGGTTTGATTGCGGATCCTGGGGGTGGCGGCGTTTCTCGTGTCGTTGCCATCTCCCGACCCCGCTGCGCTACCTCTTCGTAGCCCGTCCAACTCCGACTCCTCCCCGTCCCGAGGAGTGTTTTTCAACTCGGGCCCCATCGGGTCCCGCTTCGGACCTGCGGCCCGCGGAGAGTACCTCGTGGTGGGGCAATCCATTCGGAAAGTGGCGTCGACAGCCTCTGGGGAGCACATGCGGCTGAGATCGTCCAAGAGTGAACGGCTCACACGGCGCGCTGGCAGAGGCCACGAGTCCGTGTTGTCGTGGGAGGAATCTGCCGTATAGTATACGTGGGGACCCTGTCGTGGAGACTTTGGGGGGCCACTGTTGGCTCGACAGTTGCTGCATTGTCAGAGTTCTGGCGCCCCGCACGCGCCCTGACTTGTTTCACGGCGTGCGTATCCCGAGTTCTGGGCTTTGTCCGCGGGGACCGCGTTTCGCCACACCTTGTTTGTACATCGTCCAAACTCGGCCTTCCGAGACCAAGTTCGACCGCTCCCCCAGCGCCAGTCGTGAAACAGTTGCTGCTCCTCGGGCGAGTTGACGGCGAAGTCGCGAACGATATTAAGGTACATTGATTGCCGTTAGAATTACCAATTGGATGCCCCGCCAATCCAGGCAGGGATTGCGACGCCGTTGTGAAACATATGCACACCACGCGCAACACAACACGCACACACAACACACAACGTACAACACAACACACACAACACACAACACACAACACGCAACACACAACACGCAACACACAGCACACAGCACACACCACAACACACAACCCACACCACGCAAACACACAAGCACACAACACACAACACACACACACACACATGCGCACACGCGCACATGCGCACACGCACACGCACACGCACATTACACACAGCACAACATACACCACGGCAGATGTATCGGATGTTGGGGGTGAGCCATGGAGTGGGCTGGCTTAGATCAGTGTTTTCTGCGTCTCTCGGTTCCTAGGTTTCCTTGGCAGATCTGGGGCCATTGTAGTTTGCACCCTTGGCACCCACTGACTTGTCTTGGGGGCCCTGCATACTGACTCCTGCCCTTGCCCGTGTGGCCAAGTTTGACTGTAGCTAGCGCCCTCCCATCGGATGGTCTGATAAACGCATGTGCGCCAGCCGTGTTCAGGGAGGGACGCGAGGGTCCTAGATAGACTCGGAATCGCTGCAGAGGCGGGCTTTCATTCTCTATGAGCATCCTCCACTTCTTTCTCCTGTTCCCTTCCTCCCCGTTTCTCTCTCCCCTCCCCCACCGTTCTACCTACTATCCCCCATGTCCCCACCACTTGCCCTTCCACCCACCGCTCCCACACCTTCATCCTCCCGTACCTACCCTCACATGTCTCGTTTCGCCTAGTGGTGTTCTTGCTATCCTCCTCCTCCTCTTTCTCCTCCCTTTTCCTCCTCCTCCTCCTCTTCCTCCGCCTCCCTACCTCCGTCCTCATCCCTACCTCCTGTCTTCTTCCCCCTCCGTCCTCCTCCTCCTCCTCCTCCTCCTCCTCCTCCTCCTCCTCCTCCTCCTCCTCCCCCTCCTCCGTTCTCGTCGTTCGTCGTCGTCGTGCTCCTTTTCCTCCTCCGTCTTCTACATGACCTCCTCCCCAACATCTTCGAGATGATGGTGCCCCTCCTCTTTTTCCTTGTCTCCTCCTGCCTGTGCGCCCATCCTCTTCATCCTCCCTCCTACTCTCTCCTCCGTCATTCCTCCCCGGGAAAGGGCGGAGGAGTTGCTCGGGGAGGGGGGAGGAGCAGGAGGAACAACATAATCTTGGAGGAGGAATGCGGGCGGAGGGAGGTTAGGAGGCGAGCCTGGGGGTGGCGCGAGCAGCTCGTCTCGCCCTGCCATTTTGGGGGTCTTCCGCGCCCTCGGCCACGCGATGGCCGACGCCGGCCCGATCGTCTTCTATCGGCGGTGTGCCTGCTTCTCGGAGGGGCATAAGCAGGTCATGAACCTTCGCAAGGTTTGTAAGGACTCTCGCCTGAACCCAACACACGTGCGAACCAACGATCAAAACCCGTTCGGTTAGAGCGTAGCCAGCACGCAACTGAGAAGAAATGTGTGCCGATTCTTTCGGCAGGGCGCGTTCGGGGAAACGGAACGCGTTCCTCCATCGCTCGCTAACTCCTCCGCTGTCCTCCTCTTTCCCTATTCCGCTTTCTCACGTTCTCCTCACCCCTACTCGTCCTCCCCCCTCTACCGTCGCCACCTCCTCCCATTGATGACGACCTCACCTGGGAGAAGGCTCGGGGGAAGGCGCCGACGCGTCTTTCGGCCCCGCTTGGGGAGGAGTCGGGTTCTAACGCGGCATCAGATCTCGTTTGATCTTGGGTCACCCTGGCTTTAGGCCCGTCCCCAACAGCCTCCTCCTCGCCCCTCCTCCCTCCTCGCCCCTCTTCCCTCCTCGCCCCTCCCTCCCTCCTCGCCCCTCCCTCCCTCCTCGCCCCCCCTCCCTCCTCGCCCCTCCTCGCCCCTCATCCCTCCTCGCCCCGTCCTCCTCCGCCTCCCCCCCCCCGCGCGCTGCACAGGGCAGCCCGCGCGCATCCCCGCGGACGCCTTCCGCGAGCTGTTCCCCGGGCCACTGGTGGAGGCCCCCGCGGTCGGCGGACAGACCGTCCCTGAGCTTCCAGGAGTGTAAGAAAATAGCACCGGACTTAAAAGACCATGCCCCACGGCTGTTCTGCGTCTTGGTTTTGGGATGGTTCGTCTACTTGTTTCTCCAGACAGGCTTGCCCTGTAGGAGTCCTAGCTCATCAAAAAGTAATTGGTCTTGAGGACCCCCCCTTTTTCCAATGGCACTCCCGGACACTCCCCCTTTTTCCAATTGCCCCCCTCCTTTTTCCAGGCACTTGCTTGCTTGCTTGCTCTTGCGTGCTTGCTCTCGCTTGCTTGCTCTTGCTTGCCCTTGCTTCCTTGCACTTGATCGCTGGCTCTTGCTTGCTTATCATTGCTCGCTTGCACTTGCTTGCTTCCGCTTGCTTGCTTGCGCTTGCTTGATTTTGCTACTCCCGTCCTGCTCCCGTCATCGTTTCGTCCTTCTTCCGTCCTCCTCCCATCCTCCTGTCGTCCTCCTCCCATCCTCCTCTCGCCCTCCTCCTGTCCTCCTCTCTATTTGGAGTCAACGCTTGCTGATATTAGGTTTTTAGGCCTCAACTGCAACAACAAATAGCTCTCTGGAAGGTCAGGGATGGATCGAGCGTTGGTCGACACAGACAGTCGGCCCTGATTAGCAGGTCGACCCTCCCAAATCAAGGGTCTCCCCGTGTCCTGTGCCTCGCGACCCGTGCCTCCCACATTCCTGTGGCAGTGTGAACCTCGGAAGGGCCTCGTGTCTTCTCGCGCGCGTCCTGCCCACTGAAGCCCGACTGCAGCTCCTGGGCGCCAGCCGCAGCTGGGAGCAGGAGGGAAGCGCGGGGTGTGCTGGGAGTCGCGGGGCCCCTGCAGGCTTAGACACCGCCTGCGGGCCCCTGGCGCCCTCCACGCGCGCCCTGGGCGGGGGGCCTCCCCGCGGCCTCCCCTGGGCCCCCCGGGCATTGCACGGCTCGGGAGGAGAAACGGGCCCCAGGGGGGCAGGGGGGTTGGGACTTCAGGGGGCCCCCGTGTTCAACAAATCGCAGCATCCGGTGTGTGTGGGGGGGGAGGTGGGCCGTTTTTGAACCCCAGGGCAATCGACCATTGATCTGGGAGGGAAAGGTCCCCCTGGGGAAGTTGTGGAGACACTTGTGGCCCGTAAACTGAAAGGACTGGATGCCTCGACGCGGATATTCCCCTGTGCGCATGCGGTTTTCTACAATTATCTTCCGCAAGTGTCTGAGCGTCAGCAGGTCTCAGCGCGGGCAAGTGTGCGATTCAGTGGGTCCGAATGTGGGCGACGCGTTCTGTAGCTCTGCCGCCATCTGTTGCTCTGTGCTGCTCTCTGCTGCGCCCCCTGCAATAGCCGCTGGCGCCCCCCCCGCCCACGCACCCTGGGAGGCTGAAGCGCAATGCCTGCCACCTCGTGGGTTCTGACAAGGGGCACGTATGCCCGCCTGAGTTGCCATTCTGCTTGGGAGGTCCCGACAACACGGGTGCGAACGTGCTCGTGCGATGCCCCTGGCGGCTTCTCATTGGGAGGCCCAAGTGTAACATCGCCTACCTCCCGCAAGAAGCCATACTGCTTGAGAGGTCTCGGCAATCTGGGCGCGAGCGGCCCGTGCAATCGTGCCAGGCGGCTCGCACTTGCGAGACCGACGAGAGTGAGTGTGTTGAACGTGCTGCCTCCGCAGGCATCCTGGCTCACGGAAGCTGGGCCGCCCATCGTTTCGGAACCTGCTTAGGGCCAGCAGGAAGAGAGAGAGAGAGAGGAACAAGAGAGAGAGAGAGAGAGTGCGCTCATATTGTGGCTGCTGCCGACGGCCGCCGATCAGCATTGGCAGCGCGGAGCAAGATCACGCACACGGATTACGCAGAGGTGAAGATCGGATGCGCAGGAGAGGATCGCCATGGTGTCAGATTCACCAAGTGGTCTGCGAGACCGCACATTCACAGCAGACGCGCTGGACCCGAGAGAATACAAGCGTTGGAGGCACTGGGCGAAGGCACGGCTCCTCCGCAGCAGCATCCAGGCTGCTGGTAAAAGGGCGCTGCTCTTCACGTTCCTGGACGGCGTGGCCCAGGTGATGTTCGACGACGTAGACGCGGACAGACGTGGACAGATGTCGACGACTTGGCCGTGGACGGATGGGGAGCAGCTGGTTTTCCAGTGGTTTGACCATGCATGTCCAGATATTGGGCCAGAGGACAAGTTGGCGGAGGTCCTCGATGCGACATCTAAATGTATATACACATTTTTACAGATCTATCGATGTAATTGTATATATATGGTCGGAAATCGGAGAATCACGATACGGCCACGAATTACGCAGGGCGTGTGTTCAGCTCTTCGCTCGGGCGCAGCAGGAAGGATTGACATACCCAATGGAGGCGCAAGGCCATACGTTGCTTCGTGGAGCCCGGCTGGGGCTAGCTGATCGCGTTGTGGTGCTTGCGGTTGCGCAGAGGTCCTGGAGGGTAAGCAGACCTGTCGGCGGCGATGAGGAAGACGTGCCGGATGCGACCGAGGCCTAGCCATAGGACCGTGCATTCGGTGAACGAGGAGTCCACCATGAGCGACGAGAGTGTGGCGGAGGAGACAATGGTGCAGGCGCTGCTGGCGGAGAAGGAGCACGACGGTATCCCCTTGGAGGAGATCCTGGAGGAGAGCGACGCGCTGGACGTGCTGGCGACCTGGTCCAAGAACCCAGGGGCGTGAAAGAAGGCGCGCGCGGCCATCAACGACGGGAAACTGAATAGGAAGTTCGGGGGTGCCAAGAGTCCGCTGGACTCAGTGAGGAAACGCACGAAGTAATTGTCGCAAGCTGGGACACTTCTCAAGAAACTGCCTGGTGTCGCGGAGGAAGCCAATAGGCCCATCATCGTCCTCGGCGCCTTCTGGTGCGACCCCGGCCCGCTCAGTGCGTTTCCGCTCGGTGTTCAGGGTGGCCCGATATCGGGCGCGTGGAACTGATCCAGGCAGCGCTGGAACGAGGTCGAGCCAAGCAAAGGGCGATGGAGAAGTCTGACCCGCAAGATGAAGAGTTAGGAATTCGGGAAACGCACAAGACGGTGAATTTCACGATCGACGAGGCCAGGGGCGCGTTGACAGCGGGTGCGCGAAGGGCATCGTCGGTGAGGAGACGCTGGAAGAACATAGACAGAGGTGGTGCGGCGCGGGTGGCCGCGAGGAGGACTGCGAGCACGCGGTGGACAAGACAGCGACCGCGTTCTGTTTCGACAACAGCGACGCGCAGAGGTCCAGACGGAAGTTCGCGGTGCCGCAGTGGATTGGTGAGGTGCTGGGCCGAGCCTGCGTGCGCATCGCGCCTGCGGCGACCCCGTTGCCGCGTTCGAAGAGGGGGCCAGGGGCTTGGGGGGCACCTCGACTTCGACATGGATCAGATAACGTTCTCGGCCACAGGGCAGACGGCGCAGCCTGCCCCCAGCGATGAAGATGATGGCGGCCACTGCGTTCTGGAGATGCGCGCGCCTCCGCCGCTCGCAGACGCGGCGAGGGCCCTGGACTGAGACTAAGGACTTGGGGCCTGCAAGAAGAAGAAGGAGGGGTCTACAAGAAGAAGGAGCGGCGAGTCAACCTGCCCTGGGAGACGCGCGACGACATGCCGGAGGCGAAGCAGGCAGCGCCGACGAGGAAGCAGAGGAGGCCCCTGGATGCCTCAGCGGCGGGAGCCAGGGCCGAGAACAGGAGCGACGTCGGAGCGCTGGACCTTTTCCTCGCCGCTATGGGCGGCGCAGGCGGCGGCCGCCGCGTGCGTCGCAAGCCTCTGGGCGTTCGACCTCAAGCCCAGCTGGAATCTGGACCGGCCTCGCGTCCGACGACGGGCGCGCAGAGGCGGTCGCCGAGGCCGGGAAGCCGCGGCTGCTGACGATGCCCCCGCCGTGCCGGACGTTAGTCAAGCGGCAGGGCCTCATTCCTGCGCCGAAGGGCACGGGTCGGTGGATTTCGCGACTACAGGGAGACCGCGGGCCACGCGCGGTGGCGCATCAGGGTGGCCGCGAAGCAGATGACACGAGGTGGGGTATTTCTTTTCGAGGCCCCTCTGGAAGGTGGAACCTGGGCGCCCGACGAGATGGGGGCCTCTCCGGGCTAGTTGAAGGGCCAGCTATGCGCGGCGAAGAGCGCAGGGTGCGCGCTCGGCCGGATCGAGCCAGACACGGGCACGAGGTGGGCCAAGGGGTGGCAGTCTTGGACGATCGAGAAGGCAATGGCCGAGACGGCGGAGGCCATGCGCCATGGGGGCCGCGGGCAAGCGCGCCATCTATGCCGAGAAGGGCGGTCTGAAGATGAGGAAGAGGGGCAAGCGCACGGGGGCGCACCCCAACCAGTTGCTGGCGCGCATCGCCCCGGGGGCATTGGCCGCGCCGGACAAGGAGAGGGCCGCGGAGATCCTGGCAAGGTGGCAGCGGCGAGGTTGCACTAGAACTTTGGGCACCCAGCGGCGGGCGCGCTCGTCCGCGCCCCGCGCAGCGGATGCGCCTGCGATGAGGCCATGGAGCTGGCGAGGCAATTGGCGCGCGACGTCTGCGACTAGCGCGCGATGCCCAAGGCGCCGCGACCTGTCGGCGCCCGCGAAGGACCTGCCCCCGCCGCGCGCGACCCCGTCGATGCGAAGCACCTGCCGGGCTGGATCGGCGGCCCCGTGACTCCGAGGTGCTTGAATATCGTGGGCGCGGGTTCTGAGCTGCAGCAGATGGGGCAGTTCTTCGAGCGGGAGACGTCTCGTTTGCCGCGCGCCATGTGCCCGCAGACGCTGGCGCGGCGCCGCCATTCCCCGCGTCGGGTCAAGCTGGGCCCCGGCGCCGCGAACGTCGGCCGGGCCATGAAGGCTCGAGGGCTTCGAGAAGGACGGAGCCGCGGCGGTGGACAGAGCCGGGAGAGGCGCGCCAGCAGATCGCGGAGGCAGAGGTGCACCTTGAAGGCAGGCTGATCTCGATGCAGGGGGAATGGCTTGAGGCCGTTGCCAGCGCGTGCGAGGCCGAGGCCAGACTCGCCCG